GGCAGACACCACAGGGTACAGTCTAGTCTTACCTTTCCTTTTCCATATAAGTAACTCCCTCTCTTTCTGTTTTTGAGGACCTGCTACTGTAGATGCTGATACCAGGGGCACTATGGGGCCCAGGGTGCTATGATATGAGGACTTCTATGTAAGGACTAAGGCAGGACCACCAAGTGCACATAGGTGCTTGGCTTGGACCATCTTGGCAGCCAGGCTCAGGGTGTAGGGACGGGTTGCTTAGAGTCCCAGATCCATGGATAATAGTGTTTATTTATTCCCAAAGCCAAAGCTCCTTCCTTATTAAGGTATACTGCATTCAAGTCATAGTTAGACTTAAATTTTTATTAGTAGCTTGTGTTTTTGCTCTTTCACTGTTCACTGCATGTTTCATAAATACCTTTAGATTCACAATTATCAAATCTTTTTAGAGTAACCCATGTACCATATTTTGCCTGTGCCTCTTCACCTCTCTTCCCCTGCTTATGTGTAGTATGCTACTCAAACCCATTCTTAAGCCTATACCTCCTTAGCTCCTGTAACAGAAGTAAGTTATGCTATATAGCTGGGATAGTTGACTCTCCCCTACCTCCTTACTTTGTTAGCCATAGTCTTACATGTAGGAAAAACAGTGCAGGAAACTGTGCTAGCAGAGCCAGACTTGGGGCTGAGCAAACCCTGCTGATGGTGCTTGGTCTTCTCATTGGGTGGACGAGGCATGATTAAGTATAACTGTCTTATGGAAAAGAGCCTAAATTACATCAGCTGACTATGCTAGAACCTTCACTAACATTTCTCCCTGTATTCTCTAGAGCTGGTACTTAAGGTAAGGATTCAGAACCCATCTCTTCGAGAAAACGATTTCATTGAAATTGAACTGGATCGACAGGAGCTCACCTACCAAGAATTGCTCAGAGTGAGTTGCTGTGAACTGGGTGTTAATCCAGATCAAGTGGAAAAGATCAGAAAGTTACCCAATACTCTAGTAAGAAAGGTAAGAAAGGCCTGTTAAGTATGAGTGGTTGGTTGCTTTTTGCACTTGGAAAATACCTAGCTCCTTCCTTGATTTTTATGAGTCATATTTGAAGAAATGAAAAAAGAACAGAAAAGGAACAAAGGTGGTTTCCAAATGTAATCACTGAGCTTTCTTTCCATTTACCAAGTCTATAGTGACATTGGCAATTTTGAAAATTATAGAATACCAGAGAGCATTTTCTGAACTACCACTCGTGTACATATTTTCAGTTTCTGTAGTGCTTTGTAAGGATCACCTTAGTGCATTCAGACATGCCTTGTGTTTTATAACTTAACAACCAGGTTATATTATAGAGCAAACACACATAGATACACATATGGTCTTCCTAACATCTCTGGGTTCCTTGGATGTCATCAGGCTTCTGGCTTCTCAGGTCACCTAAGGAAAACTGATCCCTGAATTGCTTTTCCTTTGGAGGTATGCTCATCCTGTAGTAGCTGCTGCTAAGGGCTTCCAGTATTTTACCCCACCCATGTCCCTGGCAACTTTCCTGCACTAGGACTGAAGCCTGCCACAGGGATTTTTTTTTTCTTCTAGACTTTAAAATGAGACAAAATACTGGTTTCAACATAGCACACAAAAAATACAGAGACAAGTGGCTCTTCTTAATCTGCTTAACCTGTTTTTGTTTTAGGATAAAGATGTTGCTCGACTCCAAGATTTCCAAGAGCTGGAACTGGTTCTAATGATAAGTGAAAATAATTTTCTGTTCAGAAATGCTGCATCCACACTGACTGAAAGGCCTTGCTACAACAGGAGAGCTTCCAAACTGACTTACTAATGCAGTACAGACTTCTGTCTCTGAGTATTGTAACAGTGTGTGTCACCTCTGGGCCAAGGACAAGCCATTGATCTAAATGCCTTGGATGCCCAAGAGGGCCCCTGGTGCCACTGTGCAGTGTACACTAACATCGCCCTGCCAAGGTAGGAAGCCCCTGATCTGCAAGCAGCGGTGCCACTCTTCCAAGCCTTTTGGTGCACAATAAACCTATTGCTTGATGCTGTGAACAGCTGAGATGGTCTGGAGAGGCAGAAGCCAATGGTTCTGTATCCAGTGTGTTTTATGTGCAGAATGTAAGAGAGTTGTCAAAGCAAAAGCTGAGATAGAGTGGGACCTAAATCTAGCCACTCCTGTTGACAGCCCCTCCGAACAGCTGGGATGTGCTTTTCTTGGTGTTGCATGCTCACAACTCCTGAAATATGAGTGGACTGGAGAGGAAAACTGGGGAAAGCACAGGTCCTGGACAAATGAATTTTAGTGTGACTGTGGCTGTGAGGTTTCCTATACCATATTTATAAATGTTACTCAGGTTAAAAGTATTTAAGAATACAGTTACCTAATTGTAAATATGCTGTTAACCAAAAGAGCTTCCCTTCCCCCACTTTTTCCTTTGTAAACACTTTCGACTGCTTCTGTCTCTAGTCTGCCATTGCCGTCATCTCTGCATTAACTCCCTTCGTGGTCACTAGGGGGCTCTCTGATGCTTTCCTAAAGAGCAGCCACTTTTTTTACAAACTGAAGCGATTCCTGTCATCTACATGTTTAATCGCACCGTATGAGAAGAGCACAAACATTGTTGGTCCATGTTCTCCACTTTCATTTACCACTAGAAGTGAAAAGCAATTTCTGAGACTGAATCTGTTGCTATTTTAAAGGTTATTGTAGGAAACCAATCTAAAGGAGTTAGCATCTTTATTTTTGTATCAAAGATAAAGGTTATTTTGAAATTACTAGGCTTTTTACACAACTCTAAAATAGGTTGCTTTTGTAAACAAATTTGTTTGATCCTAGGAACCCCCCACTACCACCACCAATCCACTTAACTGAGTCAGTTGTGAGTTCAGCAGGCTTTCTTCGGGAAAAAACACCTTGATTAAACTCTTAAGCATGATGTAAGAATTTTTTTAAAGAATGCATTCAAGGTTTCTTTTTCTTTCTGTCAGTGTAATTAGTTTTAAGAGAAGAGCCACTGTCTTGTTGAAACAAACAGCTTAGCTTTGAAATAAGAATGCCCACCCTCAGACAGGGGAGCAGGGGTTGGAAGCCAGCCATGGAAGAGCATCACTGCTGTCTTAAGAAGCTTTCCAACAGTGCCTACTTCCAAAGAAACTTAACTTCCTAACTGTGTTTGTTTTATTGGGACACTGCAATCGAGTGAGTGTGCAGAAGATGCCAACGGAAGAGAGGGTGATGCACTAAGATCATGGCTTCCTGCAGCTGCCTACACTTCAAGTTGAGGTTGAGGTGTTTCCAAGGTCCGCTTCAGGAGTCATTGTTTTAGTGACTTCATCGTGTTCCACCAAGTATGGATGGTGGCTTGCCTTTGTACAGTGTTTGCATAGCAGAGTAAGTAAGCAGAGTTACTTATTAACCCTTTTCTGAATAGCAAAGTAAGCAGAGTTATTTATTAACCCTTTTCTGAAGTGCTTTAAAGAAGAAATCTCCTTTGTGTTTCAGCCAGTCAGAAGCTAGTTTATCCAGACACACTAACCTTTTTTTCCTTCCCTTTGGAAAAAAAAAATTACAATTTACTGATAAAACTAAAGCTAGTACTATCCTGGAGGAAATAAATTCAGTATTAATTCATGTCTAAATCATTAGGGTCAAAACTCTTCCAGCCGCCCAGATCACTTAGAGGCTCTCAGAAGCAGTGGAGGCCCCGGGCTGGGAGGCGGCCTGTAGAGGAGTGGTGTTTACTGGGGCTAGAGACAGAAGCCAGTGAGGGGCTTGGCATGTCAGGTGGGAAATGTGCCCCGCACTGGTCTCTCTTCTTTATAAAGTACTCTGTGGTCCACTGACTCCTGTGTATGTCTGTGGGATAAGACTGCACAGTTGCTGATGGGTGAGTTCAAAGTCTTAATCTATGCATTCAGAGAAATATTTTTATATGCTTTGTGTAATTTATAACAAGGATTTTTTTTTAGCTTTGTTAACTGTGAATTCACCCTTTCTCCTCCACTGCATATTTAAAGCATGTGTTCACACTGTGTGTAAACATTCACTGAAGATTTTTTTCTCTGTGCATTGCTGATCATTCCAACACAAGTATTATTAAAACTAAATATTAACTGACTGAGCCCATATTTAATTTTGACCCCGAAAACAGCCTTGTATTTCTCATCAGAAGGGGTTCAAATTGTTGGACATTCTCAGGGACTAGACACTCTTGAGGAAGAATAGAAGGACCGTTTCCCACCTGAGCCTCCTCCATCCTGCAGCTGCTAAGGGCTCGTGCCCTGTCAGTGGCACCTGGACACAGACATTCTGTGCAGCTCTTTCCTCCCAGTTCACAGCAGTCAGCTTCATTTCCCCAGAGTAGCTAAGCCAGCTGGACGGGGGTCATCCTCTACTAACCACATTTTCTGATTATCCTATTTACTTCACACAACTGAGCCTCTCCTCTGGGCTGTCAGCACCTGTCAGGGCCTCAATGAGCTCAGAAGCAAACTCCCAAGACAGGAAAGGGAGTACAGCCTTACACCTTCAGATCTTTAGTTGAGAATGATGCCGAATGAATCTGCATTTCTGTTGGTTTAGGGCGGCTAGAGCTTCACAAAGCAGACGTCATGCCAAATTGGCCTAATAAATCAGGGAGCAGAGCAGAGACCTTTTCTTAGCACCAAGGAGAGGCAGAATAATTTGGGCATTTGTGCTTTCATACTTGCTCTTTCACAGGGATGGATGTCTTCTTCCCTACACTCATAAACATCCTGGGCAGAAACGGCCTGCCCCCAAAATGTGATTAACCTTTAGCAAATGGCCCTGCAGCACAGGCCGATCCAATGCCTATGGAAAAATCAGATCAAAGGAGCCATCTCCACACCTACTGCAAACCACTTAGGGGAGGGGGAAAGCCATCACCCACAACCAGTCTCATACTAAGAATAAAGGTTGAGGGAATGACAACGACAGATGGGACCAGAAACTTAGGTAACAAAGAGATCATTCCAAACCTGAGGCCTTGTGTAGAGAAGCAGGCTTGGAGGACTGAGGGATGACATAAACATGGAGGTATGCACGGCAGCTTTCCCAAGAGGCCTCAGGTCAGATTTCAGGGGCTTTGTGTCTCACCTTTTTATAGTATCTGCACAGCAGAGCAAGAACTATTGGCAACTACCCAGTGAATTTTGGCTATGAAGACAGTATTCTCAGCCAAAGGCTTTTGGGTCTGAAGTTTGCAGATAATTCCAGCCACGCAGATGTGCATGAAGTCGGCCTCTACCCCTACCTCTTCCTCCTTGCCTCCTCCAAAGGTTCTAACCACCAAACCCTGTGAGCAGGCAGAGAAAGGCTACGTTGGGGTATATATATATATATATATTGTCGACCACGTAGCTTTATTTCATCACTGCTCCATTTTTAATGGATTCAGGCCAGCATTCCAGAGCATAGGACTCTGTTCCTAGGGATGGCCGACCCAGCAGTCTTCTGTTCCAGGAGGATAAAGCTTCATTTAAAAAAAAATACTTCAGAGTATAAAATATGAAAAATCATACAACTAGGGAAATTATTCCATAAAGTGATTGAAAATGGGAAATAACACTAGATTGGGAATCAAGAGACTCATGGCCTAGCCTGGGCTCTGCCTCAAGCTAGCTCTGACCCTGGCATGTTCACCTCTTGGGCTTCTCTTCCTCATCTAACACACTTAGCATGGTTATCTTGTTGGGCTCTTTACAGTGACAAAAATCTAACAAATACTCCCAGTGTTTGCCATCAAGTCCATTCTGCAGACATATTTGGTGTCCTTTTCCTTCATGATGAAAACCAGGAATGGCCAGGAGGAAATCCCAGGAATACATTTTAGGCAAGGCCAGCATCTCTGGCCATCTCATAGAAGATGCCTCTGGCTGCAACAAGGTTGGTTGGAGAATCAAATTCAGCTACTGTCCCTTTGTCCAGGACCAGGACCCTAGCCAAAAAAAGTGGTGAGGACTCCATTAGTCCAGACCTGGCCTCACAGTCCAACTCTGCCCTTCTGAGTACTGCTCAGGCCCTACAGGCACATGCCGACCCTTCTACTTTTGCCAACCCGCCCAACGCAGCCGCTACACCACATGTGCATGCTTGCAAGGCTGGTTATTTTAGCCATTCCGTTTGCTCTCCTTGCAGATGAGGCGGTTTCTGGGATCAAACGCAATGTTCCTATTCATCTCTGCTAGTCAGGGCTTGGAAACCGTTCCGTAATGAGCCTTCCCCTTGCCGGGGTCATAGACCTGGGCACAGGGAACCACAGGCCTGTGCGCTTCCATCTGCTTTGTGCCAACTCACAAAGGCAAGCGGTGGGAAACCAGGCTGCAGTGAGGCCTGACATTGGAATCTGGGCCTTTGGCTGCAAATCTGGCTGCTGCTGACGGGTGGATCTCCTCCCCACCCCCACACACAGTTGGGTCTGAGCCTGGCATCAGAATCTCCTGCCAACAAAACAGGGTACACAGGTGCAGGGCCAACAGGCTGGCTCCCAGGGAAAGGCAGGTGCAGAAAGGGCTCTCCCATGCCTGGGGAGATACCCCTCCATGGGAGCAGGTAGACTGTACTCTGTTACCTACACGAGGGGCTCCCAGAAATGTCCTGGAAGGAATGTCTATGGACATCACTGCCTGGCCACTGTCCAAACTGGTGCCCAGGAGACTGCCCTCTCCCTTATTACTGCTCTTAGGGCGAGGACTAAGGGCTTTACCAGTCCTCCAAGGGCTATGTGTGTGACCTGTCCCTCTCCTCACCTTGGTTCTGTCCCCTTTGGGCCTTTGCCTGTAATTTTCAGGTCCCTCTCTTCCCCATCTCCTCCCTCACTCCCCAACTCTTACTCATCCTTTAGGTACTGGCTGGTGCTTCCCTTCCTTAGGAAAAAAAGTATCTTGGCTGCCCTGTGGGGAGTGGCTTCCTCTGACCTACACACATGGACTCCTGCTTGCTTCCTGCAGGCTCTGATTACACATTCAGTAGGGCTGTATTTGTAGTTGATTATTTGATTAATTTCTGCCTGCCCACTAGAATGAACGAACTCCCAACCCCCAAGATTGGTTTCAGCCTTCTACCCTCAGTGCTGCTGGTAAAAACTATTTTCAGTTAGGCCTGGGAACAGAGCCTCTTAGCCCATCCTGTCCCTTGTCTGGACTCAGGGTGCAGCACTCCTGCCACCCTCCCTTTCCCAATGGGGTCCTGGATTTTTTAGCTTTAGTGGGCTAGGGATGAAACACAGATGGCAGCATCGGACATTCTCAGCTTGGTTTCCAAGCCCCTGGAGGCCACAAGGGGACACTGAGAAAGGGACAAGTCCACCCCATTGTCTTGTCCGTGGCATCCTCCCCACCTCCCAGTGCTGTGGCGGGGGTTATTTTGTGAACGAAGGCTGTTGATGTACCTCCACCACACTCCTTCACTATGGGGTTGTTGCAGCTTCCTGCCTTCTCTTCCTCATTGAGCTCCCACATCTCCAAGGCGGCCAGCCTGCCAAGCCACTGCCAGCTCTGTTCATGAGGCTTCTGAGTCACCCAGCCCTTCACCTTGACCTCCAGCACCACATCTTGACACTGGGCACAATGAGGAAATTGGCTACAATTTGTCTTTTTGGCCGAGTGGGCTGCCTCTCCAAGGAAGCCATAGGATTCCGAGGGCAAGGTCCCTTCCCAATCCTCGGAGGAACTGTGCTAGGGGGGATTACAGTAAGGGGTTAGCGGGGAAATGAGTATTTCCCAGGATCACCTGCACTTTGAACACTTTATTTCATGGACTCCTTACAAGTCTGAGAAAGAGAGAGGTTCCCGAAGGCTTTGTGAATTGCTCCAAGGCACAGAGCAGCCATCTGAGCTGGGCCTGGGACTCAGACCCCTGCTCTCCCACCCCAAGGCATCTGCTCCTCGGCTCCTCTTGGTGCTTTCAGGGTCCGGCCCACCAAGGCAGGGAGCCAAGCAGCACACATCTTTCCTCTGGATTCCTCATCCGTACACCCACCTCAGAGGTGGGAGCAAGGCACACATGAAGCGATGCCATGTGGGCACTCTAAACAGGTGCTCAGACTGATGGGACTTGGCATAAAGGATCTGGTGCCAGTCGCCTCATACCATCAACAGGAGGCTGGAGGGAGGTGCCCTGTGCACAGTTCACAATGCCTAGGTAACCCATGTGCTCCTTCCATACATGCTGGTAACCCCAAAGTGTCCCATGTCTCAAAGCATCATTGTGTTTCCCCACTCCCTGTGCCCAGTAACCCCACTCTGTTCTGCCCCTTATCCATAACTTGGGAAACCCTACTCTGCCCCCCATTCCCTGGACAACCCCACAAGCTCTCCCATGCCCAGATTACCTCAGTCTGCCTGGCCCTTCCCTGCGGCCCAGGCGACCCCACCTCTCTGCTTGGGTTCTGGTCCCCACCTGGTATAGTCCATGATGGTGTTGAGCCGGTGTGCAATGGTCAGCACCGTGCAGGTCTCAAACTGGGTGCGGATGGTAGCCTGGATGAGGTCGTCCATCTCCAGGTCGATGGCAGCTGTAGCCTCGTCTAAAACTAGGATGCGGCTCTTGCGGAGCAGGGCTCGGGCCAGGCACATGAGCTGCCGCTGGCCCATGCTGGGAACAGGAGGCAGGGATCTGGGTGTCCCCAGCCTGCCTCCAGGCCTCCCTCCCCAAACTGCTTCTGAGTTCATTCCCTCCCAATGGCCCAGGACTGGCTTTCTGTCTCACCTCTCCATTCAGCCTCAGCCCAATCCTCCCAGCACAGGGAGTGAGGTCTGAACACCACAGGGATTGTGAGGGGCCAGGGGGGCAGAGCCAGTACTCAACCTCGTGAAGCCCACAGCCTGTCTCTGGCAGTCTGGCATCCTCTTTCTGCGCTTCCTTCCCTGTCCTCCCTCCCCGACTAGTGCTTCTGCGTCACTCTATCAGTCATCTATACCTTAGAAACAACGCACTTCAGTTCACTGCCTCTTCCTGGGTATTTGCACACATGATGCCATCTTGCTGAGCCCAATATCACACAATTCAGACAGTTGTCTCCTGCCCCCATGGGGAATACAGGCCAGAGCTCTGCTGTGGGAACCAGGAAGGGGCAGGGTGGGGAAGGACTTGGGGAACAGCTTGTGTCTGGTCACCAGGGAAATGGAAGAGAGGGACAGGATGCATAGCTTCAACCTCCTGCCTTGGAAGCCAGATCTAGTGAACAAAGCGGGGCAGTGTTCCCAGCCACAGAAGCTGCAGTACCCCTACACCCAAGGACAAATACCTCAGCCCTTCCCACAGGGGTGAGTCACCACAGGCCAAGTGAAGGCCAGGTTCCCTCTCTGGCCCATTCCCGCAACTAATGAAGGGTTTGGCAGCAGAATGAGCCGCTAGATAGAACTCAGGGCTGATTTATGGTGGGACTGGCACAGGAGACAGGTTATACTTAAAGTGGCTACCAGCTCAGTGAGAGACCAGGGGAGCTGATTTCTGTCTCATATCCTGATGTGTGTGGGGATGGAGGTGGATCCCTCTGGGGAAGATGCTGATGGCAAGCAGGGATAGGAGAGTGGACTGAAAACAGCAATGGGGTGCAGGGTCTGAAAGCCTGTGTTTGTCCACCAGCCACCCCCAACATAGTTGTGTAAGTGAAATCCAGTTAAAATGCACATTCAGTCTTATGGGGCTGCCTGGCGGGGGTGTGGGGAAGGACACATCCCACTGGTGGCTATGATGCAGCAAGGAAAGGTTTGGGGCAAAAGCCTCCACTTCCCGGAGTCTCTGTCCCCTTCTTGCTAGTTGAGAAGCTTTCGGCAAATAATTTTGTATTTTAGAACTTTATTTCTGGTCCAAAGGACAGCAGTAAAAATTAAATGAGACAGTGGAGGCCAAAGTGCTTTGAACACTATTAAGTGCTAAGCAAATGTAAAGATTTTTGTTTTTGTTTTTGAGGTCTGGAGAGAGTACATGGGTGTGGACTGAGTAGAATAATAAGAATAAACTAGAATAAGATAGCTACATTTTTCAGGGGTGTACCCAGGCTAAGCGCTTTCCATTTCATCACAATGACCTTAAGACTGCTGTCCGAACAGCAGCCACTGGCCACATGTGGCTATTGAGCGCTTGACTGTGGCCAGTCTGAATTGAGATGTGCTCTAAATGTAAAAGTACACATGGAATTCCAAACTTGGTATGAAAACACAAAATATCCCTGATAACTTTTGTATCAACTACATGTTGAAATGATAATATCTGAGATATAATGGGCCAAAAAAACACTGTTGAAATTTATCTCACCTGTTTCTTTTTCCTCTTTTTAACATGGCCACCAGAAAATATTTTAATTACACATACATAGCTCATGATATATTTTTACTAGGCAGTGCAGTGTGAAGAGGTATGGGACTCTTATTACCCCCATTTCAGAGGAAACGAAAAGCAGGCACAGAGAGGTTAAACAACTTGCCCCAAATCACACAGCTAACACAGGTATGGGAATCTCTAGGTGTTAGACTTGGTAAGAAGTGACTTCTGGCCCTCCCTGATGCATAGCCCAGAGGCTGGGATGTCAACTCTGGGGCTACAGGAAAGCAAAGAAGAGCCTGGAGAGCTCATTTGCCCACTCCTAAACTGCAGATGACATAGCTTCCGTCTTGGGAAATGTCTGCGAATTCTCTAAACACTGCAGGTTTCCTCTCACCTGATTCCCCAGGGTCAGTCCATACCTGCCTCCCCAGGCCAAGCATAGCATTGACAGTCTCACAGGACAGAACTGAATGCAGCTTTGGAATCTCCCAGACTTGGTTCAGATCCCAGGCATTCCTTCTCCCAGCTATTTGTCTTGGCCCTGCCTCAGTTTCCTCTTCTGCAATGTGGGACCATGGGTCACCTCTAGGGCTTGTGTGAGGAGTCAGTGAGCCAGGGCAGCATGCCTGGCATGCAGAATATGTTCGATACAAAACACATCCCTAGTGCCCCAGGCTGAGATGGGAGTGGGAGAGGGCAGAGGGGCCTGGCCCAGACTCTGTGTCATTTGAAGCTAGGTCCTCTAGCCTGCAGGGTGCCATTTGTGACCCTCCCAGTCTCAGCTGTTACCTGAGATTCTCCCCTCTCTCGCTGCACTGGAAGTCCAGGCCTGCCGGCTGGGAGCTCACAAAGGCATACAGGTGGGACAGCTCCAAGGCCCGCCATATGTCTTCATCTGAGTAACTGCCAAAAGGGTCCAGGTTCATCCGCAGGGACCCTGAGAACAGGACGGGGTCCTGGGGAGACAACAAGTCCTCAGAGGGAGTCAGCTCAAGCCCCCTAAGGAGCCATGGGTCCAGGGCTAGGAAAAAAGAAAAGGGTTGAGGTGGCAGCACGCCCACTCTGTGCCCAGCCCTCCAGGAGGGATGCACGGCGAAGGAGATACAAAATGCCTGCAGGGAAGTGATAAACCTCAGCTTTGCCAGTCACAAAGTCCTCCACTAAAGCAGAAACCAGGAGCCGCTAATCTGACTCCAAAGTGTCCAGTCGGCAGAAAAAAGTACCCCAGAAGAGCCAGAAAAAAGTGAAATGTAATTCAGAGCCATGCAACAAGGAGACCAGGACAGACAATCTCAGGGGATGAAGTGTTTGGGGGTCCTGTAGTCCTGGCCTCATTTACTGGCCCAGGAGGTTAGAGGGCGGGCTCTGATTGGACCAGAGTACATCTGACCCTTCCAGATCCATGACCTGTGGCCACCCTGTAGCTCTGCTCCTGCTGTCTGGCTCTCCAGCCTTCTAGACATAGGCCCAGTCTTGGACCTCAAACTATAGAACAGGGAGTGGGGCCTGCCCCCAGGGTCACTGGTTAAGTGTGGTCAGTCCAGTTTAAGCTCATACCTGGGGGATGACAGTCAGCCGAGAACGCAGGTCATGAAGTCCGATATCTGCCACGTTGAGGCCATCGATGCGAATTTCACCCTCTGCGGCCTCCAGGATGCGGAACAGGCAGAGGGTCATGGACGATTTGCCAGCGCCAGTGCGGCCCACGATCCCCACCTGGACAGGGTGGGGCGCGACTGTCAGAGGGCGGCTGAGGGGTCAGTGGGGGCTTCTTCAGGACTTCCCTGGAGAGGCTGAGCAGACATCTGACCTGGAGCACCTGCTCTCCCAAAGACCCATGCTCCCCATGTTCCCCGGGCCCAAACCCACCAGATGCTCACCTTCTCACCTCCGCGCACGCGCAGACTCAGGTCCTTCAGCACCAGCTCCAGGCCCGGCCTGTAGCGCGCAGAGTAATTCCGGAACTCCACCTCGCCGTGCTGGGGCCAGCTCTCAGGAGGGCGGCTACCCTCCAGCAGCCAAGGGGCCTGGCCAGGTGGGGAAGGTAGGTCTGCACCGGGGTGGCGCCTCCTCCCCAGCCTGGCCCTGTCCCACTTCTAAGTCTTCCTCTCTCTGAAGGCCCTCTTCTGAAGACTGCATGGTACTCCTGCAGCCCAACCTTGTGGCTCAATGACTCTATTACCCCTCTGCCTTTATTCCCTACAGAGCTGCTCCAGACCCTCCCCATCTGCCCCCTCCTGTTCCCTCCTTGTGCTTTATGCTCCTGAGCTGCCCTCCCAGCCTGTCCTGGCTCCTTTCACCATTCATTGCTCCTGAGTGGCTACTCTGTGACAGGTACTAAGGTCACAAACAAGACAAAGCCTTTGTCCCCCACAAGGCTTACATTCTAGTTGGGAGGAAGGGGGCATACAAATAAATAAATCTACATAATGTGAGAAGATGATAGGTGCTGAAAAGTGCTTGGTGTTGCTGTTCTGTACAGATAGGGTGGTCAGGGAAAGCTTCCCAGAGGAAGTGACATTGAAATAAAGACCTGAAACAGGTGAGGCAACAGCCAAGTAAATATCTGGGAGAAGGGCATGCCAGGTAGAGGGAACAGTAAGTGCAAATGCCTTCTAGAGCATAGTGACAAAGGTGAGAGGTAAGACACAGGTAGTGGGTGGCCCATCATGCAGGCTTTACAGGCCATTTTAAGGACTATGGGGTTTTACTTTAAGATGCAGAGACATATGCAGAGCCATTACAGGGCCACGCACAGAGGGCTGGTATGATTTGATGTCTTTAAAGGATCCCTCTGGCTGCTATGAGGGGAAGGGAGGAGGCAGGGTGGAAACACAGAGACTAGCTCCAAAGTTTTTAAAATAAACTGGGCAGAAGATGATGGTGGTTTCAAGAAAGGACCAGCTATATAATTGGGAATGCCCAGTGCAAACTGAAAACGTGCGGCCCCATGTTCAAAATTATTAAGAATGTCCAGGAGGTGACAGCAGGGTATTAAACCAAATGTGAGGCCCTTCTAAGTGTGACCTGAGTGACTGCATAGGTCACACACTCACAAAACCAGCCCTGCTTCAATATAGGGAAGCCAGACTGTCAGCAGTCATAAAACAAAGCCGCCAGCATAGACTGGTCTCCTGATGAGGTGCCGAAAAAAGAGTCAGCAGGGCTGGGGGCAGAAATTTTTAGGACTTAGAGAGGTGTAGAGATGGGGGAAAATGGGAATGCTAGAGAGGGAGAATTGGAAGATTCCAGAGAGTGGTGGGTAAGATGGTGCGGCGTTGTACCGGAGAAGGCAAGGGTAGGTGGGAGCCACGGGGACAGGAGAGGCCAGGGTGGGAGGAGCAGGGTGGGTGGGGGCTCAGTGGAGACTGCCAAAGTGAGAGCTCATATCACAGAAGCCATGAGGGCAAGACCTTCCAAGAAGAGAGGGGTCATTTCGTCTGAATGTTGCCAAGAGGTTGAGAACATAAATGTGTCCCCTTGGCTTGGAACGGGGGAGGTCATGGGTGGGCGGTTCCAGTGGAGTAGTAGGGCCAGACACCAGACCGCAGGAGTCAGATGAGCAAGAGGGCAATGTGGAAGCAGGGAGAACAGGCACAGAACGTACTCTAGGACTAGCTTCACCGCGAGGGAGCACAGAGAAATGGGGCAGTGGGATGCAGGGGGAAAGTGGGGGTTGGTTTGTGTGTCTAGAATGGAAGTTATGATAACTATTTTTGCCTGTGGATGGGAATCACCCAACAGCATGTCTGATGGTGTGGAAGATGGAGCATGTGACGAGGAAGTGAAGTTCTTGAGTGGCCATGTGAAGAAGTAGAGGGGCAGGACTCCGAAATGAGGAAGGCCATTTCCTGTTAAGAGAGAAGGGAAGAAGAAGGAGTAAGGGACACAGGCAGGTCTGAAAGTCTGGAGGTGGGAAGACCAAGGGAGGTCACATCTTATGACCTATTTTCTCACTGACGTGTCAGGCAAGGTCGATGGCTGAGTACAGGGAGGAGATGTGGGGGTTTAAGGAAAGGAGTTCCAAAACAGATCATTCTGGAAGTGGGAACAAGTTGGCAATTTTCTCCACAACGTGTTAGCTGCAGAGTGCTGGGGTATAGAAGGTAGATGGGTAGGGTTTTGTAGGTGAGCACAACTGAGAGAGGGAAGGGCCAGGGAGTTGAGAGCACTAGCTTTGGTGGAGCATAGAATCCAGGTGAGGTGAGCTGATGGACAGAGGGATAAAGGCAGGTTGCAGGATTGGGGTCCCAGAGAGGACAAAGTACTGTGGTAGCTGGGAGGGATGGGGCTGGTGGTCTACAGCAGGGTGCTTAACTTTGAGATCTCAGAGATGGTGCAGCTGCTGGGCATGAAGAGGTCTGGGTTGTGACCATGGGAGAGAGAAAGAGGAAAAACGTCTGAACCTCCAGAAGAGGACAACTCCTTTTCCCCAGCAAAGGGCATGCTGCCCCATCCTGCTCCTTCTATCAGGCTGATCTCTTTTGCAGGAATGCTTACCTTCCCTGATCACCCCAGCTGAATGATCCCCCCATGTGCCTTCTTCAGAGGCATCACTCCAGAGCTCTTGCCATCCAGTGCAGAGCCTTGCAGTATGTTGTATCTACCATCTACACCCCCATTACAGAATCTGCTTGAGGGCAGAACCTCTTTCTCTCAACTCTGAACCCTTTACATTTCCTAGCATAGACTTCTGGTTGATGCTTGATAAGGGCTGAATAGATGAATGAATGAATGAATGGACACTGAACAGCTGGTCCTGGGGTATGGGGATGGTGGGCCACCAAGTACCCTTCCCCTGTAATTTCAGACCCCCCTCTGCCCAGGTTCTTCCCTGTACCCACCTCAGTCTCTGTCTTGGAGTACTCCTTTACTCTCTCCATGGCCACAATATTAGACTCCAAGTCTGACATCACTCGTATCATCCAGTTCAGAGCCAACGTCACCTAGCCAAAGGGACTGGGTCATGGGAAAGGGGACCTCCCCTCTCCTGACACAGTTTTGAGAGGAGTTCAGGCTCCCTGACCATGTTCCTATTCCATTTATGACCTGGGTGGGCCTGGGCAAGTCCATAGGCGTGCCACTTAGGGCCCTAAGCACAATTGTACCTCAGGCAATGACAGTACAGACTTAACTAAGGGCCTAGTCCAGTGTTTCTCAGACTTTAATATGCATGAGAAAGACTTCCCAGGGCGTCCTGCTAAAATGTGGCTTCTGCTTCAGTAAGTATGTGGTGGGACCTGAGATTCGGCATTTCTAACAAGCTCCCAGATGCTGCATGCAACTGGTCCTGGACCATACTTTGTGCACCAAGGAGTCTTGATAGACATGCAGAATCCTGAGCCCTTCCTAGGCCTCCAGTATCAGAATCTACATTTTAACAAGATCTTCAGGTGATTCATATGCACATTCAGGTTTGGGAAGTCTGATCTCTGGATTGTCCTTCACCAAGACCTGTGCCCCTGAGGCACTGAAATGTGGTCTCTTCCCCCAAATTCCATTTACAGTTATTTAACTCTTTGACAGTTCCAACTGATCAGGGTGACCTGCCCAACCTCCAGCCCAGGCGCTGGTCCTCTTCTCCTTGTACTTTCTCTGCAGGGATGTGATGTGAAGTGTATTCTACCCCTACACTTTCCTGCCCCAGAACCCCTGTCAAAGTTAACTTTCTAGATCTTGTGCACAGGAAGGACACATTCTAGGTGTGTCTTGGGGCCAAGCTTCAAGCTAATTTCTCCAGCATCCCAAGGTGGAGACCCTCTTCTGGGTTCTGACACCATTGTGTTCCTCCCTCCGCAAAAACCTGCTTGCCCTGCATTATAATCCTCCAGTGGTGGGAGTCTCTCCAAGTTGACTGTGAGCTCACAGTCCTGGCCACCAGAACCTGTGGCTGGTCCCCATACTGGGCAGAGTGAAATACTCAGGAGATGCTTGTGACATCTGTGTGGCCTCTGCCCAGTGGCCACCCTGCCCTGGGGCCTGGACCCCTGCGCACCTGTAGGGCATAGGACACAGAAAGGCCCACCAGCCCCGGACTCAGGCTGCTCCTCCCAGTCACAGCGAAGACTGCTGCAAAGAGCACAATGCAGTTTCCCACGAACTCCACTCGGATCCCCAGCCACCTGTGGGATCGGACAAGGAGGAAGTGGGGCAGGTGCAGGACAGGGGTGGTTTTCTGCTTAAGGGGAAGGAGGGTCTAGGATCCACAACACCAGGGGCTCTCCTGGAGGAGCATGGGGGAGGGAGGAGGCTTCTGACCTGTTGGAGGCGATGTAGGGATAGCAGCTCCTTTGGTTGGTGTCCACCTTAGTGTCACTCATGCCCTCGAACTCCTGGCTGCGGCCATAGGCCCGGATGACACTGGAGCCAGTCACCGTCTCCGAAAAGTGGGAATAAATGGGAGAGCGACTGACAGATTCCAGCCGCTTCAGTTGCCGTGATGTGGCCACATAGAAGCGCTGATGGAGGGAGGAGAAAGAGCTTGGGGTCAGGATGGTGGGACCCCAAACTCAGTCATGCACACCCTCTGAACAAAAATGGGCCCTTTCCAGCCAGCCCCATCCCCTGGAAGTCCTTGCTTCATTCCCCCACCTGGGAGAACCCAAGGCTTAGGGGCCTGATGTGGCTCCAAGAACTCTTTCCACTCCTCCCTTCTGGTCAGCTCTGTTCAGTCTTCCAGGCCACTTCCTCCATGAAGCCTTTCCTGATTCCCTCTTAGTTACTGACCCCCTTGCCCTCTCTGGGGTTCTGGGTTACAGAGATGAACTTGTTTGGCTTCCTAAGTCAATGAATGTGCCTATTTCTACTTGGGGGACCTAGCAGTGGGCTCTCATATGGTCAGTGTTTTGTAAAACTTGCAAAAATAACATAGTTTTGTATTCTTTTTCTTAAAGAGCCTTCACCCACCCCTGCCCCCAGTCATTTAAACTTTAGCCCACAAAAACATGGTTTTGCCTCCAGCTTCCATCCTCTACCCTGTGGGTCCAAAATGGTCAGGGTCATACAAGATGTGTATCTGAGTCCCCTGTACCGGCACAGAGCACAGTGCAGATCACCATCTCTACACACAGGGCCTGAGCTTCTAACCACCCTGTGGATTATCTTTATCAGCTGATTAATTCATCGCAGGATAGGGGCTGGGCAAGGCAAATGCCTTTTATAGTTAGCTGTAACTGATCCATGTTATCAACTCATCCATGTTGAAAACATATATACACATATATGTTTAGATATGTATAAAAAGAAGGGAAGGAAAATGCGTTCCAAATTGTTAATGATATTTTATTATTTAAAAAGAGCCAGTAGGAAGGAATTCCATGGCCAATCACAATTTATAAGGATTTCACTTCATGAAACAACCCGATGAGGTAGGTTCTGTGATTCTATTTTATAGGCAAGGAAAATTTGTTTCAAAGAGATGAAGTTACTGACTACTGTCCCCAATCAGTCCTCCATGATGGGGTCTGACCTCTCAGCTCAGTCCCCCACACAAGAGCCACTTCCACCCTTGGCTGCATACCTGCACAAGGCCATAGAGGACAGCCAGGGGCAGGACGGCCACCGTGAAGAGAGGTGTTGTGGCCATGATGACCAGGAGAATGGAGAGGGAGTTGTAGACAGAACCCAGCAGCACAAGGATGGTGGGGGCCAGAACCTCGTCGATGATGTAGATGTCCTTGGAGAAGCAGTTGAGGATGCGGCCTGAGGGTGTCGTATCGAAGAAAGACTGGGGCGAGTGCATCTTGTTGTGCAGCAGTGCCTGGTGAACCGAGCGCGAGGCCTGGACTCCGCCCACCGCCATTGCCATGGCTGACAGCAACACCAGGAGCCCTGTTGGAGGAGGCAGAGGGGCGCTCATTCTGCTGGGCCAGGGTGGGGGCATGCAGGGGCAGGTCACGAGGTGGAGGAGAGCTGCAGTGGGGGAGGCAGGCTCAGAGGCAGGGCATGGCTGGGATGAGCTAGTAAGGCCCAGAGGCAGGTGGACTGCTAGGGTGGGATAAGGAGGCATTGGGGCAGGGCAATTGCTGTGATGGTAAAGGAAGACTCGGGGGTCAGGGGCATAGTTTGGGGGACTCAGCATCTCAAAGACGAGAAAGGGCTGTTGGAGCCCCCTCAGGTATCTCTACAGGCTCACCTTGCAGAATTCCCAAGGTGGCATAGACCCCCAGCCTCAGGGAGGTATTGTTCTGTCGGACATCTGTCACAGCCTCGTTGGACCAGTCACTGAGCCACATGTTGGCCCCAATGGCAGCAGCACTTTGACCCATGTACAGCAGACTGACGAGCAGCGCAGTGCAGAGCCCCATGGCCTTGGCATAATCCCAGAACACCCTCAGCTTCACCTGCATGGCCATGATCATGGTCATGGACAGAGGACTCCTGGGAGCCCCGGCACTGCTGGGAGCCTGGCCACCCTCTCCAGCCCTCCTTGTCCACCTACTCACAGTGCCCATCTCCACCTTCTCCTCCTGGATCAGCGCCCCTCTCGCTTTCACCTCTGCTGCCTGCATTACCTTTTCTGCTGTACCCACTCGTCTCCGGAGCACAGGCCGACCTGCGCCCTCCCCTTCTGAGGACATGACACTCAGCTGTCTGTGAAGGAAGATGGTCAGGCCCAGAAAAGAGACCTCAAGCACACCCACAGGACAGAGCCTCAGGAGGAGGGTTCGGGCTGCTGCCAGAGGCCCAGTGGGTGTCAGAGAGAGGGCCCACCTGTGCTCTACCTGGCGGGGCTTGGGGAGCCCTGATGCCACCTCCCAGGGGGCTGAGAGCTCTCAGGAGCTCACCTCATAAACTGCTTCTGGACCTCATATGTGACTGGCTCATTATCTGTCAGGTCTGTGTGATCGCTGAGTGTGTCTTCAATCAGCAGCATCTCATCATCTGCATCCTGCAGTACTGCAGTCAAGTGGGAGAAAGGAGACAGAGGTTAGCTAGCAGCCTGCAAGCCTCTGGTGTTCCTCAACCCACACTCAATGAAGAGGCCTAAATGGACAGGCATGAAAGATGAGAGGGACTAGAAGGGCAGCAAGAACAACAATAAAGGATAAAAGTAAATGACCAATTTTATGTTGGAAAAACAAGGGCAAGAAAGACATAGGTTAGATAAGAAGAAAATTTTCCCATGAGAGATTATGGAGAAGGGGACTCAAATATGAGGGTTGGGAACTTGGGCTCTAGAGTCAGATTGGCTGAGCTTAAATTCCACTTCCTCATGCATGACTTTAGGCAGACATGTAAAGTGGAGATAAGTACCTACTTGTGTCATTGTCATCGTGAGGATTAAAGGAAAGAATATGTTCAGTGCTTAGCAAGGGGCACAGCATTTAGTAAACGCTCAAGACATGCTAGCTGTATATATGGCCATAGGCAAGAAAACCCAGAAAGAGGTCTGTGAGTCAGCCCAGAGTCTGGGGGTGGGGAGCCAGGACTGGACAACACTAGGGGTCTGGTGGGTCCAGAGACATCAATACACTCCATGGGAACAGGGACTTTTTTGCTTGTTCACTACTATTTCTCAGTGCTTGGAATAGTACCTGGATATAGTAATTGCTCAAGAAATATATCTGGTGAGAGAGAGATAAAAGGATCTCCAGGAATGAAAGAATATTAAGAGAACTGTGTGACCAATCCAAACAGAACAACATTCGCATTATAGGAGTATCAGAAGAAGAAGAGACAGAACAAGGGATAGAAAGTGTCTTTGAAGAAATAATTGCTGAAAACTTCCCCAAACTGGCAGAAGAAATAGTCTCTCAGACCATGGAAGCCCACAGAACTCCCAACACAAGGGACCCAAGGAGGACAACACCAAGACATACAATAATTAAAATGCCAAAGATCAAATACAAGGACAAAGTATTAAAGGCAGCCAGAGAGAGAAAAAAGGTCACCTACAAAGGAAAACCCATCAGGCTATCATCAGACTTCTCAACAGAAACCTTACAGGCCAGAAGAGAATGGCATGATATACTTAATGCAATGAAACAGAAGGGCCTTGAACCAAGAATACTGTATCCAGCATGATTCTCATTCAAATATGAAGGAGGGATTAAACAATTCCCAGACAAACAAAAGTTGAGGGAATTTGCCTCCCACAAACCTCCTCTACAGGATATTTTAAAGGGATGGCTCTAGATGGAAGCACTCCTAAGGCTAAATAGATGTCAACAGAGAAAATAAAATCACAACAAAGAAAGCAGACCAACCAAATACTAACTAAAGGCAAAAAATAAAATCAACTACTCACAAAAGCAGTCAAAGGAAACACAAAAGAGTACAGAATAAAACACCTAACATATAAAAAATGGAGGAGGAAGAGTAAGAAGGGAGGGAAATAAAGAATCATCGGACTGTGTTTATAATAGCTTAATGAGAGAGTTAAGTTAGATGGTTAGATAGTAAAGAAGCTACCCTTGAACCTTTGGTAACCACGAATCTAAAGCCTGCAATGGCAATAAGTACATATATTTCAATAATCACTCTAAATGTAAATGGACTGAATGCAATCAAAAGACACAGAGTAATAGAATGGATAAAAAAGCAAGACCCATATATATGCTGCTTATAAGAGACACACCTCAAACCCAAAGACATACACATACTGAAAGTCAAGGGATAGAAAAAGATATTTCATGCAAACAATAGGGAAAAAAGCAGGTGTTGTGGTACTTGTATCAGACAAAACAGACTTCAAAACAAAGAAAGTCACAAGAGATAAAGAAGGACATTACATAATGATAAAGGACATTACATAATTATAACAACAAGAGGATATAACCATTATAAATATATATGTACGTTGACATCCAAAATATATAAAGAGCTCACACAGCTCAACAAACAAAAAGCAAATAATCCAATCAAAAAATGGGCAGAGGAGCTAAACAGACAGTTCTCCAAAGAAGAAATTCAGATGGCCAACAGACACATGAAAAGATGCTCTACATCGCTAGTCATCAGAGAAATGCAAATTAAAACCATAATGAGATATCACCTCACACCAGCAAGGATCGCCACTATCCAAAAGACAAACAAAAACAAACGTTGGTGAGGTTGTGGAGAAAGGGGAACCCTCCTCCACTGCTGGTAGGAATGTAAATTAGTTCAACTATTGTGGAAAGCAGTATGGAGGTTCCTCAAAAAACTCAAAATAGAAATACCATTTGATCTAGGAATTCCACTTCTAGGAATTTACCATAAGAATGCAGCAGCCCAGTTTGAAAAAGACATATGCACCCCTATATTTATCGCTGCACTATTCACAATAGCCAAGAAATGGAAGCAACCTAAGTGTCCTATCAGTAGATGAATGGATAAAGAAGATGTGGTACATATGTACAATGAAATATTATTCAGCCATAAGAAGTAAACAAATCCTACCATTTGCAACAACATGGATGGAGCCAGAGGGTATTATGCTCAGTGAAATAAGCCAAGTGGAGAAAGACAAGTGCCAAATGATTTCACTCATATGTGGAGTGTAAGAACAAAGAAAAAACTGAAGGAACAAAACAGCAGCAGAATCACAGAACCCAAGAATGGACTAACAGTTACCAAAGGGAAAGGGACTGGGGAGGAGGAGTGGGAAGGGAGAGATAAGGGGAGGGGGAAAGAAAGGGGGCATTACGATTAGCATGTATAATGTGGGAGGTGGCACGGGAGTGCTGTGCAACACAGAGAAGACAAGTAGTGATTCTACATCCTACTACGCTGATGGACAGTGACTGTAATGGGGTATGTGGAGGGGACTTGGTGAAGGGAGGAGCCTAGTAAACATAATGTTCCTCATGTAATTGTAGATTAATGATACCAAAATA